ACCATATCGGCTTCTTCTGCTTCTTCGCTTTTTTTATTTCGCCTTTATTGGAATTGTTTTCTTTGGAACTCACGGCAATCAGGGCTGGACTTCTTTTAGAAGAATTCCATTTTCGGATGTAGGTTTTACTGAATTCTGGCATACCCTGTTACAAAGCATAATAACTAACTACAAAATCATCATGACGTGACATTGCCCCCCTCCTAAAACCACATTTTATCAGTAAAACCAGCAGCGTTGGTTTGTCATCAAACGTATCTGGCTTTCATGTGGTAGAAACTAATATTTTAATTACCTCAAAGCAGTGTGTATTACAGAATAATCGACACAATAATTACAGATGTACATTTTCAATTTATAATCAGTTATTATCGAAGGACAAGATCGATGATGTTAGAAATGAAATGGAAAAGAAGATAGATGAAAGGAAAATCGATATTGAAAAAAGATAAAAGAAATGGAAATTAAGATAGAAAAGCATATTGAAGAAGAAGTTGAAAGGCTAAAACTACCCTCTTCTGCGAGAGCTGAAGATCGCAATGCAAGACTATCAAAAATTACACTTCCAAATTCCTGCATCGAAAAAGTAACAGCACTAATAAGTGCATTCCAAACAGAGGCGCTGGATATACTCCAAATAATCTCCGCCTCTCAATATGACTTTCACCATTTTGTCAACCTTTTAGAAAAGATGTACGACGGTAAGCATTTACAGCAGGTACATAAGGCGCAACTGAAAAGCCGTAATCAACAAAGTAACGTGCCTCTTCAACAGTTTGAGTCCGATGTGCCTTTTTTTCTTTCTGCCCCTTAAGGATTCATGAATGTAAAATATAAAAGGCAAAACCGGTGGTTTAATGGTAAATCTCTCTTACGCCAAGCGACAACGTAGTTTATGTGCGGTAAGTGGGTACGTTTTCCGGAGTGCAGTGTAGCGCTAATTGGTGTCAGACTCATGGGGACATTTGGTTAAGGCTAGAGTGCTGTGTTTCAGGGGCAGTACCCAAAAGGTTGCATAATCGCCTATTTTGATCAAACTGGTACCATTTCGATAATTCAGAAGTTTGGGGCAACTCGTATCGTTAACCTTTAAGCGCCACTGAAGGTTTCATTGAGATAAATCTGTCTAACGAAGTGTGTGCGATAAAGACTACAGCTACACGGATGGAAAAGTAACCATAGATATTTTATCGAACGTCAAATATCAACAAATAAACATAAGCAGTTCACTAAAACGCATGTTGGGACTAATTGAATTAAATAATTACTGGCATCACAGGAAGCACTATGCAAGCGTAAACCAAAAGAATGAAAAAAATGTAAGTAAGCATTGATCGGTGGATTGTCTGGATAATTGTAGTTTTATTAAGACAAATTCCCACCTATTGAGGTATTGCTAAAGTGCGTTACGTTTTTGCGGGTGATTGTAAATAAACTTACCAAAAAAGTCAAATAAGGCTCCAAAAATGTTGAACCACATATTTAAAAAAATAGTCCTTGAAATTACTTTTCGTTATGCATATGATTCGAACCCGTAAATGTGTCATGTCACATTGTTGTCATAACAACTGTTCTACAGTGACTGACCTACACTAATAAATAGTGGATGTTGTATTGCTGAATTATTTTATTGAACTGCATAAGGTTTAAACGTTCATAGAATAAACGGCTCCTAGAGATTGTCTGTTAACATAAAAACCACCCTAAATCATATTTTATCTAATCTAACAAATAAACAATATTTGGTCTGGTAATCACCGGCAGTGTTTATGAACTAGGGCCGTAATTGGATTGACCTGTACCTTTAATTACGTTTTTCTCGAAACGGTGAACATTCGGAAATACAAACATTTACTTAGTTTTCATGTTTTAATGTGCTCTATCACCATCTGCAATCTCGGCACTTACTTCTGTTCCATAGAAATTAAATTTCATTCGTTTATTTTGAATGACCACTACTGGCATCCACAATTGAATTCGCTAACATTTCTGTTGATTATAAATAACAACAATACATTGTTGGTAGTGAGCTTACATTTGCATTGCGACCTAACTTTTGAACACTGCATAATGGCCAATTTCACAGCATGGTAACACCGTGCTTTATTGTACTTGTGGGCGATTAATACATACAAGTTTGTTTAACCTTAACGAACAGGAACTTCACTACAAAAGGAATGAATGTTATTTACTACTTTCCTGAGTACATTCATCTCACATTTCGAATTTCGTAGAATGGAAAACTATATGTTAAAGTATTTAACATGCTTTCGTGGTATATGCTTGAAACATAAATAAGTATATTAAATACGTTTGAATTTTGTATTGTTTGAATTTATAAATTGCATCAACATATAAATTAAATTACTTATGTTGACAGCGGCGACTAAGTTAAAGTGCAGGAAAATCATACTGCTAGCCAAAAGTCTTTATCCACTTGAAACTACTTCTTCTATCAAGTTGCGCTACCATAAAAAGTAAATATGTTTAATCGGCTAACGATTGCACGACAGCAGCTATAAAATTCATAGCAGGCATTAAATCTTAAAAACAAATCGTATCACTTGTGGTTCGCAAAAGCAATTGCTTTTATTTCGCTGTTTTGTGATTTTCTATTTAAAAATATGTTAGTACCCTCGGAAGTTGCTACATAAACCGTTGCAAATGAAAGTGAACCTGTCAGTGTATTTTGGTGCATGGGACTGTTAATTCCATTTAACAATGACATGCGTGGGTCAGATTATTCGCCCACGGTCACGCTCAAGATGTTCACAATTTATAGATACAAAACAAGAGGCTGGAGATCGTATGTTTAAGTTAGTTAGTCACATTTACGAGACCGGCAAAGTCCCAGATGATTATAAACGGAACATAGTAGTAACATTACCTAAAAAGATTGGCGCGGATAGGTGCGAGACATTCAAAACAATTAGCTTAACTCCCTATGCGTCAAAAATCATAACTAGAATTGAATAGAGAGGATGGAAAAAAGGGCGGAAGAACTATTAGGGGAAGATTAATTTGGGTTTAGAAGAAATAGAGGAACGCGGGAGGTCATTCTAACTTTACGGGTAACAATAGAGAAAACGATAGAAAAAGGAAAGAGTGTGCACATAGGATTTGCAGATTTAGAAAAAGCTTTTGACAATGTTAAATGGGACAAGATGTTAAATATTCTTAAAAATGTAGGGATGAGTTACAAAGATAGTGCTTAGTTTGTATAAAGAGCAACAGGCAGTTATAGAACTAGGGATGCAACATAGAGAAGTAAATATTAGGAAAGAAGTCAGACAGTACAACTGTAGGGATAGATATACAGGGGCAAAAAATTAGTATGCTTAGATTGATTGATAGATGATAAAGCAGTATTAGCATCTAGCTCAGGAGGAAATAGAGATAGCTTCAAATAAAATACTGGTATGCAAGGGAAGAAAAAATAGGGAAAGAGCTAATAGAAGAAGTGACTGATTTTAGATATCTAGGAAGTCAGATCAGTAAGGACAGAAGGAGTAGTAGGGATATAAAGCAGAGGATAGCGCAGGGTCGTGTCGCCTTTAATAAAAAGAAGTCACTTTTATACTCGCGAACGGTTAATTTAGAAATTCGAAAAAGATTGATAAAGGTGTATGTTTGGAGCGTGGTGTTGTACGGGTGCGAAGTATGGACAGTGGGCGCGGCGGAAAATAAAAGGTTAGAGACCTTCGAAATGTGGTGTTATAGGCGAACGATAAGGATAACGTGGGTAGGAAAGGTTAGAAATGAAGAGGTATTAGAAAGAATAGGAGAACAGAGGACTCTAAGGAAGTCAATTAAAAATAGGCGAGATAGGTTAGTAGTACACCTTCTCATGCAAGAAGGTCTAGTCAGAGACATATTAGAGGCAGAAACAGGAGTTAAGAGGGGTAGAGATAGACCTGGGATAGATTACTGTTCGCAAATGATTAAGGATGTGGGTTGTCCTAGTTTTAGGGAAATGCGTCTTACGACTGACGAACTTATGATGATGATGATGATTCAAGAAACAGAAGAGAAGATAAATGTGCTGGAAGAATTGATTTTTAATGGAAAGATAAAACCGATCGAAGGGGATGTTGGCGCATCTAGTACACTCAACGAAGCCAGCCAAATCAGCCAAGGAAGGGGTATAGAGTCAAGAACACGAGTAAAACCACCAACGTTTGACGGAAAGTCCTCATGGACCACATACCACAAGCAATTCGAGGCGGTTGCTAAGGGGAATGACTGGGTGCCTGAAGAAAAAGTTACCGGGTTGACCGTAGCGCTTCGTGGAGATGCATGTGACATTTTGAACACCCTTTCCCCGGAAGAATTGGCGGATTATAAACAGTTGGTAAAACCGTTAGAGTTGCGCTACGGCGAGGCTCATTTAACGGCGGTGTATCACTTCCAACTGAAAACCCGTCAGCAGAAATCAACGGAATCCCTACAAGAATTCGAGGCCGATATTGCGAGACTGTCTCGACTGGCTTATCCTAATACTCCAGAAGAATTGATGGAAAGGTTGACAGTGGAGGCATTTATTTGTGAACTTCGGTATGACAGTTAACAACGAATACACATGGACTGACCTAAGGCGCTGGCTGATGCATTGGCTCGCGCGTTGGAGTACGAATGGTAGGGGAAGAACCTATATCGTAAAACGCAAGATCAATACCGGTAATGCGCAGTCTATTCGTCAAAGACCTAGACGATTTCCCCTGGCCAAGAAGGAAGAAACAAAGCCAATAATCTACGAAATGCAGGAGACCGGCATATTTGAGTCATCATCAAATCCATGGACATCACCGGTAGTATTGGTAAATAAGAAAGATGGGACAACCCATTTTTGTGTGGATTACCGACAGCTCAACAATGTAACACTGTGCATGTATTATCGTCGCTAAGTTTATAGATTCGCCAATATCGCCAAACCTTTGACACGTTTAACCGAAAGTGACGGCAAATTTCATTGGGATTCGGATTGTCAAACGGCATTTCAGACTATGAAGCAGGCTTTAATCTCTGCCCCCGTGCTCGTATATCCTCGGCCCAATAGAATGTTCATTTTGGGCGCCAACGCCAGCAATGTGGGAATGGGAGTCGTTCTTCCGAAGTTAGAAGATGACCAAGAGAAGGTAATTGGCTATTTTAGCAAGACCTTATCAAAAGCCGAAAGACACTATTATGTCACTAAGCGGGAGATGCTGACTGTAATCAAAGGTTTAGAATATTTTTATAAATACCTAAGTATATGGACGAAAATTCACCCTACGCACCGATCATGCAGCAACTTGGCAGAAAATTTCTTCCTGTGCCCAAATACTAAAATCGTTATGGGCTCAGTGGGACTCAATGGTTTTGGAGGTTGGCATCCTGAACCGTGAAGTCCAGATGGAGAGAAAGATAGGAAGCAACAGGTTATTCCTCGAAGCAATGTTAGAGAGGTGTTGCAGTATCTTCATGATGGATCATCTGGTGGTCATTTTGGAGTGAATAAGACGCTTGGGAAAAATCGAGAGCGATTTTGTTGGGTGAACTGCAAAGATGATGTCAAGAATTGGTGTAAGAAGTATACAACCTGTGCCGCAAGTAATGGACCACAGAAAAGGCCAAGAGCGCCAGTGCGTCAATACAATGTGGGTGCCCCTTCGCAGAAAACTTAAAGATATCCATGAGTCGGTTCGTCTGCATACGCAGATTGCTAGTGACAGGACAAGAAAACTACGATACCAAGCCTACAGCAGTTGGTTACCAAACTGGATACCTTCTTTGGTTGTACAATCCTCGTCGTCACCATGGACTATCACCTAAGTTCCAACAGAATTGGGAAAGACCCTATGAGGTAGTGAAGGGGATTAGCGACGTGATCTACCGAATTAAGAAAACTCCAAATGGGAAGCCGAAGATAGTCCATTTTAATCGCTTGTCTCCATTTGTCGGTGCAAATAAGGAGGAGGTGTGGGGCAGATTATTAAGAACTATTCCTTCCGAGCCCACATTCAAAGAGTTCATGAAGAAGGCCCCCATGTTAACAGGAGATTTGGAGTGAGGCAAGAAATCCGACGAGACCTCTTTGCTATCTAAGGAATATTCTCTGCCCATTGCGTTTCAAAGAATCTCAGAATGAGCCGTGGTATCGCGTCCGAGTTCAAAAACAGATTTGGCGGTTTGGAACATCTTGAAGACCAAGTACAGAAGGGAAGAAGATTGTTGTGCCTGCCTGATGGAAGCCGCAATATCTATTACCTAGTAACTAAGGAAAGATGCTCTGACAAACCAACTTATAGAGACCTTTGGGACGCAGTAATGGAACTCCACGGACATATTCTGGAGAATAACAGAAGCTTTCGATTCTGAAGCTTGGTTATTGACTGGACCACCTAGATTGGAGGATCGTACGGAACATGCTCGAAATCCTGTTCCGCCGTACTGGAATGGACATTTTAGTTTGCAGTAACAACCCGAATTGGATCAATCATGAGCAGACCGTGGACTGTTACTTCTTTTCCCGGGGCTGATATCGTGAAGGCGAGAACTGGAGATTCCGGTATGATCCTGCGAAACGAAAATTGGAAATGTTTCGGGACGAAAGATCATTAAGGAGGGAGGAGTGTAGCGAGCACGGGTGTATTTCGGGATCGGGCACACGTGTGCGTGAACGGCTTATCGATTCGCCTACTAGCCGCGGGCGCCTTTCTTCATGTGCGCCGTATTTGTAAATATGAGAGAAAGAAAAAATAAACTATCCGGTTGTTTCCAGATGGATCCAGAAAGTAAACAAAAGAGTATTTAAAGGAAGAGACGATCGCCGAGAGGAGGAGAAATAAATTGTCCGTTGCAGAAGTGAATCCAGAAATAAATTGACAGTGACAGCAGTGAAATAAACAGCGCAATGAATAATGATATATCAACAGTAGTGTAAATAACTAGTGATCCTCCCAATTTCCTTTTTTCTTCATTTCTTACTTCATTATTTGTTGAATTTAAATTCAACGAACATGAGATAAATTCCATTCTTCACTTCTCTGAGAGTCACACCACTATTGTTTTAATGTGGCAGGCTGGACATAAATCTTGAAATTGCCTCCAATTTTACAATATAACCTAGAGTGAATAAAAACTTTTGGCTAGTAGCGGATTACCAGTTCTTCTACTGTTTTCTAAGCTCTACCGTATTTTGCTTTGTGGAGCGGAAACGAAGTTGACAATTTGTGTATACTTACCTAAAAGGTACTGCTTCTTCTTGAATTGTAAGAGTAGCTTTAGATACAACATTGGGAGAAACTTTTCTAATAAACGGCGCAAACAGTGTTAACACGAAAGCTACTTTTCATTACTATAATACCAAACGTATCTTAAACGGTCATAAGTTAAAACCCGTTGCAAATATTCTACATGTTTAGCTTTACTCAATTCCCCATCTATCTACGCAGTTCCAAAATAAAAGACTGGTTCGCAATTTTCTATACAGCCACATAATCGAAAATTGTTACAGTGACATAAAAGTATAAATTTTATCAATCTTTAAGAGACTATTTTACAAAGATTAGTTTTGTGAAGAAAATAATAGGAATATTTTCTGTACGTTTTCAGTGGAAGTTTTAAAATATTGTATTGAATTACTGTATTGATAAGATAATTTTACTTGTACGCACAATGCATAAATTTTATGTACTTAATTGTGTTTACTTCAATTTAAAAGCCATTTTCATAAACATGATGGATCAATTTCCAAGAAATGCAAATATAATGCCGAATAAATCGATCATTCTAGATACTATGTCAACTATGCCGTTAAATCTTTCCTGTCTGTTTTTGAGAAAAATATGCAAAATATTCAAGCGAAAAGCGCATCATATGTCTTTCAGGCAACAAATATCAATGTTACTTTTCACTGCAAATACTCAAAAAATACTCGTAGGCACTAATTGTGTAGTTATTAATAAATTTCAGTACGAATAGTCAGTATTCTATTATTTATCGCACGAAAGAATTAAGGACTCTATTGACGAAGCAAAGAAATAAATGTTGACTCATACATTCTGGTAATACTAGTAATATCCCTAAATCGATGTAGCAGTCACTAGTAGCACATAACAGAGGTAGCACTATCCTTTTTCAGTGCGACGTTTATCGCATTATACTTTACCAGCGTTTGCAATTTATTAGTTCACTATTCTCTTCTATGTCTGCCTTTATTTTTGTTATTATATATTTAAGAATGAATGATGTACATGAAGTTCGTTGATTCCGGTTCATTCTTTGTGGGATGGATAGTACGTAGAAAGTAAACACCAAATATAAACCTAATTTCAATTAATTCCTATAACTTCTGAAGAAATCATGGTGTGGCGAAACAATTGTTAAGAATAATTAACATTGGTGGAAATTTACATTTGATGTTCATTTTCTATAATGTCATCTTTACTTAAGGATACCAGCTTGTCAAACCGAACCCACAGTGTAGTATTATACATATTGTGTTATGAGTGCGAAGCTTTGGATGATGTAAACCAGATGCAATAGGGAATCACATGGTGAGTTTAGCAGCGTGGTTAACAGCCAAAACGTTTTTGAAGAAGCAAATTATAATTCGAATTCGGGCCTGAGCGTGAATTGGCAACGTGGTGTGTACTGCGGTAAAAACTGCAACTACATATCAATGGACAATAGAATAAGCTTTGCCGATTATCAAGGGGCTTATATAAACAACAATTTATTATTACACATAATGTTTAGTGGCTACCACTGCGTAAACTACACCTCAACATGAATTATGAACGCAATAGAAAGAAAACATTGTAGGTTACGTAAACATTAGTAGGTAAATGTGTATCATCTGGATAATCGCAATATTATTAAGACAAATTTCTACTCCATCATTAAGGTATTGCCAGGCACGTTCCTTTTTTTGTGAGTAGTTTGCCTATAGCTACTACTACTACTATTATCAAGGAGTTCCGAGAATAACCCCACTAAACCTACCTACACAATTAGAATCCCATACTAGAAGACACCATTTATAAGTCTTCCAAGAACGTCTCGCATTTGGTGTATACAGTTACAAGGATCCAATAATGATTATTATCAAAATTCAAAATTTCGCCTAGCGCGAAGCAACATTTGTCTGTAAACAACACACTACGGAAACAATTGGGCTCTGCTGCACTAGGTGAAATCAAGGATTTCATTCTCTTCAGCAGCAATATGGTTGAAATCCACAAGTATGTAATATGCCACATTATTGTAACAACAACTGGGTGACATACTGACCTACTCCAATGATTGATGTTATATTGCTGAGTTAGTTTAATGAACTTTACATCAACTAATCAAATGTAAAACCGTTGATGCTGCACTTGTTTCTATTACACCCTGTATGCCTACCAGCTAATCGAATATAGGCGGGAATTACATTTACTTATACCTTCAATTTTATTTTTCTCGAAAACACCGAAATCTTGAACGTACAATCGTTTACTTATTTTTTTTTTTGTTTTATAGTGACCTATCACCTTGAATTGAATTGAAAGTTAAGAATGACTGTGAGATAATGATAGCGCATTCTGATCTGTTTTGGCATTTTTGGGGTTCATAAAAGGTTGTAGGAAAGTGACTAGGGGAACTTTCACGAAGGATTCTAGTTTGGTGTTATTCGATCGATTACCAAGAAAGTAGATGAAGAAGATAACTGTGACTAAAGAAATAGGCGTCAAAATTTGCATGCGGACAGAATGTAGGAAAGGGTCACTTTCTGTATTTTGGTAAGATCGTGAAGTTTCGAATAGCAGCAACTGAGAGAGAGTACACACTAAGACAGGTTTCGAACAGGACTTGTAAAGAATTTAAAAAGAATAGACGAATTAAAAGCAAAGTCGTAAGTTAAATGTATGCACAAGAAAAGTGAAATCTGAAAATTACGAAAAGAACACTATTGAGGGTAGATTAAAGAAACAGTTTAGACGTAAGATTTAAAAATAAACATACAAATCTTTAATAAGTGTGAAAAAGGGTAGAAAAGAAGTAAAGGTTAGGAAGCGAAGATTCCAGAAATAGTCATGATAGAATTAGACACGGAAAATAAAAGTAAGAAATAAAAGAGTAAGAAAGAAAGAAAGGAAAATACAAAATTTACAGACACAAGAAAAAATACAAGGCTAACAGGGGCGAGTGTGTCAATAAACGCCACAATATCATTGTACAAGCAACGTTCATACAAAATTTCAACCGTCCTGCCTTGATTTATACATCAAATTATGAGACCCCTTTTCACTCCATTAGAAGTTGAATTAAAAAAAATCGGTTGTCTGTAAAGTCGGTTTACTGACGATAGTTGAACGTGACAACGTCATAGGAAAATAATGACGGAATGGTTTCATTTTTCAAAAGAAAATTTTAATTTTATTTGTTTGATAGATATATTGTATGGATATAGAGAAGGAGGTAAATGGAAATCACAATTGAATTGATCATTTATTTGTACGCATAAATATAATTATGTCAATTTTTATTTATTTTTTTTCCAATGTACATAGTTTTTACAAGTATGAATGTGCTTTGAGCAATTGTTTTACAACTTTTAAACATCATTAAAATTTTTGTAACTCTAGCTTCAATTCGACAATATATCACTGAACATATATTTAATATCGAAAGAATCATTACCTTTATCGCCGCAATTATCGTTGCTATAAACAATTGACACCACATTCACTTTTCACTGCACTTCATACTTGACGAAAACATGTAATCATCGCTCACTCAAGTAGGAGAGAGACAGATGTCGAACGCTGCCGAACGCGGAGGCCGATTGTGCCTCTTTGTCGCTCGTTCCGCGCTCTCGCTTGCACTTCAAGCCTTAAATGGAACGCCTCAGAGCGAGGTAACGCCGCATGAGTCATGTTTTTTCGTGCGTGCCGCCGGCTCCTTCGAATTATAAGACGTTGTCACGTCAAAAAAAAAACCGCTTTCTTAGCGTTCACCTACGTTATTTAGGGAACGCCTTGGAACGCCTACTCCAAGTCTCTAGACTTAAAAGTTTCGACTATGCGTTGATTAATCAGTCAGTTTATACTTTTATAGAACATATAGATAACAGCAAAGCAATAGATTTTATTAATAACGTTATATACAGCGATTGTCATTTATTCAGGGTCTGGCAGAAAATTAAATTATTTCTCGTAATTCACATAATTTAAAAGAAAAATGCGAATTTCTCGAAAATCTCTCTTATAAGGTAAGTAGGATTCATTAATATCAAAAAATCATTCTTTTTTACTGTTTGATTTGCATAATAGTCACAAGGGATGAAACTATTTAAAACGCAATCCTTTTTCATACTTTTAACGCCATGAATGTCAAAATCTATAAATAGTACCACAGAAGTAGCTTTCCGTGTTTTTTTTTTATTCAATGAATTTTGATGTTTTCTGATCCCCGCAATAATAATTCGTCCCTTGATATTTTTGCTAAAATACTCACCTTCATTAAATTATTCCCATTGTTTTGTAGAAGTACATTAAGTTTCAAAGTTTCATCACTTTTTGTTTCCTATAAAGTTCTAACGAACAGTTTAGATCAATTACCCTGCATAATCTGTACACATGTGCTTAACAGGAAGAAGTGCCCTTCATATTCAACATAAGCTATTTCGTAACTATGTGGAAAACTTCAATATGTAGTAGCTACAATGAATTTACTAAATGAACTTAGAATTTAGATGGTAGTTAGCAATTAAATAAACGATTATTTCATTTGATTGGTGGGATAACTAGAAACCATTTTATCCTGTTGTACAGTGATTTATTTTTACTTTCATTTTTTCAGATTCTGATAAATGCAGTTTGGATGATAATTTCACCAGCAAGAGCCATGCATCATTATCCTTCGAGAGAAGATAATTTGTTGGTGTGTTCTTCAGACATAGATGCTTCATATATGATAGCATTTACATACCCGATTTTTCTTATTATTATTTGCACCGTGTATGCCGTTCTTACAAGAAAAATTCCTGAAGCTTTTAATGAATCAAAGCACATTGGTAGGTCAATTGTTAGCACTTGGAAATTAATTAGTGTACACTCTTTAACAACTATTAGTTGGTTAAATATTCCTTTTGCTTTTTTAAGCATTAGTTATTGTGTGTCATACCTCCCACCTTATTTTTTTATCACTTTTTTATACCTCTTATGTTGGATATTGCGTTTTTCTGAGAAAGTATTTCATTTAACACTATCTTTATTTTCAACGTTGCACTGCTTATATGTTGTCAAACCATTTTAAATCGCTTCATATAACTTTACTAGCTTTTGCTTAAATCTCTATTTATATTACCGTTCGTTACTTTACTTTCAAAACGCTACGATATCTCGGTTACCTACTTCGTACATTGTCGTGACTAACATTTCAAGCTGCGTGAAGCTACAATCAGAGGAATTTAATTAATAAGTGAGCAAAAGAAAGACAGACAAGTAAACATTGCGTTCTATGAAAATTCCTCGAACTACTACTTCATATAGTTTCCTAATAGGAGCTATTTATTCATCTATAATGTCCTTATCCAAAAATACACAGGTTTAGATTAGATTAGACTACAAATATTAGAATTAGATTAGCTACGTTTAAAGTTTTTTTTCATTCAAGAAATTTGTTTGCTGATGTAAGCCAGTTTTTTTTATTATACGATGAAGTATTTAACTCAGTTAATTATTCCGATAACAGGCTTAATCAACATAGCTGACTTAGGGGTTCAAATATTAAATAAATACGTGTATTTTGAATCAACAACATACAAAATAATACTTAGGTGTATGTATGTTTCCTTTAAATGAAATTTGTAACTAGGTCACTTCAAATAACATTAATTAGTTCATTACTTTAAATTAAAATTAAAATCCCAAACATCAGAGCAGTAGAATTCCTAAATTTTTGGACGTTAATTTCTCATTACAGCAAAAGTTTTAATTTTTTTGTGTTTGTTTTTAATACAAACACTTAAAAATAATGGAATGTCTGCTGCATTTAACTGTTATCGGTTTTTTGAGGTTAGAATTTTTTACTTGCAATCACTTTCATTATTTAAATGGCGATGTCTAAACTATCATCCTCGGAGTCACGATATTTAGTTTAACTTCATTTTGTCTAATTTTCCTTTCCACATATATTGTCGATTTGCACAATACCAGGTTCTGAGAAAGTATGAAAGAAAACATTTATGAATTTGAACTATGCTAGTTCTAGTTATATCCACCAGTTATGCTAAATGGAACCGATTCCCAATTACATTAAACAAAAGTGATTTATTCGAACAGTAATGGAACTGAAAATACTTGAATAGGTACTTAAGTTCAACTTCCTTTTTTGCACCAGTAATACGATTCTAAATACAATTTTTCTTTTTAAATTTAACTTTTTCTGTCACAATGTAGAAGTAATATTGCAAATTTATAGTTAAGAATTTTTATTTCAAGTCAATAATATAATATCTCCAAAGGTTACAAATGCGTCTAATTGTGTGGATTCGTTTTGTATTCATATGGGGTGTGTGTCTAGACGTACGAACATACGTGATAATTTATTTAGAGTACGAATTCTCGCTAACTAAAAACTATATTCACTTGGTATATATATAGTTGGGATGTTCAAAATTGGCGTAGTCCATAATAAAATTTTCGCATTTACTTTTTTCATTCAACTTACTAACTAGTCTAGAGCGATTGTTGACAGGACGCCTAATTTTATTCATCAGAGACATTATAGGGTACAACGTAATAGAAAAGAAATGTTAGGTAGGAACTGCAGCGGACACTAATAAAGAAAAAGGAATAATGTTACACTAATAGATTTCTAACAGAAAGAGATACAGACAATCAGAATTGTTTAAAGATATTATTCCAACCAGGCAGTTATAAAGTCGATCCTGATTTGAAGCATAACCAAGCAACATCTAACCGCTGCACCGCTTACTTCTTTACACTTTGTCTGTGCTACTCACAAAGCATATCGTAATTTGACAAGGGCGGGTTTAAAATGCAGCAAAAGACTGCAGTCCCAAGTGGAAACAAGAAAGAAGATACGTCAATTCCCACAGATAATTTATTGGGGACTATGCCAATTTTGATCGTCTCAACTATACCAGGTGACGAAGCTGACTGGACGGCCGCCAGCAGCCAGATTCCGATTAAGAAATTCGGATCAAATAGAAAATAGTAATACATGGTGAAAGTCCTCAACAACCGGATAACCGATATCTGATAGTCTTTTAGGGTGACAATCTAGATAAATTAACAAATGTTCAATTAAGAATTTATTGGACCAATTTTGTTTTATTAGCGAACGGTATTTTAAATATATAATTATCAAATTCTCCTTATTCATCATATTGGGGAATTGGTCATGTGAACCTTAAGAGTCGCTTTTAGTCACTTGTTTAATTAGTATCTTGCTGACGTAAATAGTGAATGCTTTCACTGTCTCATTTCTACTTTAGCTAGATCAACAATTCTAATGAGACAAAAGGTCCAGTTGTTACAACTGTCATAAAGCTCTCAAATTTGCTTGGTTAGTTCGAATCGTCAAGACACGTCATGATAGTTAATCACATCCTGAACACGCATTGCATTAGGTAATAATTAAGAATTACCTTCAGTTTACCCACAGGACTAATAAATTGGTTTACGTTTGCTGTTAGGTATGCTCTATAAATTTTAAATCAGTCGTTTAAAATTCGCCCTATTAACTGTTCCATTTCTCAAACACGGTTATTTCTCTACACTTCCTTCAATTTATTTCTTAGTAACCAATTCCTTTCCCTGAATTGCTAAAGCAGTTATAAATGGCTTTCCGCACTTTATGTAGTTTATTAGAATGTTTCGAATCTTATAGCATTTATTCTTTCAGTTCTATTGTTAGGGGTCATCCAAAAAATACGTCCGCAAATACGGAGGAGAGATATTACTTATCATGCCGATATGACAAGGGGGAAGGGGGGTCTAGGGAAATGTGACGCTCGCAGTGCATCATTTTTATTTTCTATTCTATTTTCTTAGCCGGGCAGTTCTTAAAATTTTTAATTAGCTTGGAAAGTCATTCTCAAGTACTTAAAAGTATGTATATAAACATATAAACAGTCATAATTAATATTTCACATTTTATACACTTATTTGTTTACTTATGTGATCACAATAGGGACAATTTAATAAAATTTGTTTCAAAAAACATTTACAAATGTTACTTATGTTTAATATCGCGTCAAAAACAGCAGTGCGATTCGTCGTGATGGGTGACTAGATCTAACATCAAAGAAGATAGAAGTACTCTGTGTTTTCGAAACAGCAGCAACTAAGTATACAATTATACACTGACTGGAGACACTTCGGACTGATAGTAAAAAACAAATAGCATTTATAAAAATAGATTTACCTATATGCATGATGCCCTTTAAGTTTTATTTTATTCGTTAAATGCAGACCCTCTTTTCGTTATTCTTTCATTTGTCTATCTTAAAATTTCTTAGATTTAACATTTAAGATATTTAAAAAAATGACATCTATCTATTTAATACTTATAAAAGGTGTTATCCTGAAAAGAAACCGGCGGTGGCTCACAAAAATGCAAACAAAATATGGAAATAAATAAAGGATAAATATAAAAATTAGGAAAAAAATTAAAACTTTTAGTCAAAGAATTGTTCAAAACAAACTGAAAAATTAAATTTCTTTTTCAGTGCTATGGTAAGTTAGCCAACATTTCTAATTCCACGATCTTAAACAACGATATTAAAAAATCTTGTGTTAAATGTAAAATTAATAAAGTGTATAAAAAAGGTGACAAATCTATAACGTTTTGATTTCTTCGTCAATTGTGAATCAATTTTGATTATAATTTTTCTGTTGAATAACGTATGTTTGAGGAGTGGTTTCATTAAAATTTATATTTTCGAATTAAAAAGTATTTCAATTTATTATGCTATTTTTAATCACAAGAAATCCTTTATAAAGGGTGACTTTTGTGACGTAATATTATTGGGGGGGGCTCGCTGAAAATGTGACTTAGCATGAGAAAGGCGGTGGGAGGGGTCCAAAAAGGTGAAATTGTGCATGACGTATTTTATGGACGACCCCTTATCTATACGAACATATAATTTTAACATCATATGATCTTTCTTTCCAAGATAGTATTCAGTATATATTGAATGTGGCCGTTTTTAGGAGATCACCTTCATCTCCCGAAGTTTCGTTAGGCTTAGGTCGCTATTACTTTTGAAATCAAAATTTACAGATTACGATTATAATCTAACATAAGAATACACCTTGAATACATATTCTTTTTAATGTCAAATATTTTACGAAATTATTTAATCAGAACTTCATTCAGATAAAAATCGGTCTTTAATGTCAATCAATTGATGTTTTGCTGGTCCACCAAGGCGTTATTCAAGGTAATTGAAGTGTTAATACACGTGGGGGCTTATAATCATTTTTTTTATCAAATAATTTTGTTATGTAAGGAATGTAGCATTACTGTTTAATTTTCGTAGCCAACACAAAATACTTCTGACTAGTAATTTTAATTTGAATTTAGAAAAATTATTTTAATCTAGTTTCCCTTTCTTTCCTGAACAATTGTAGAATTGTGATAACATAACAATAACAAACCTTTACCTCAGCTTAGCTTGAGTTTTTTACAATTATTTTGTTCTTTAATCCTTTGTACTATCTTCCTCAACATTTATTTAAAAGTATTTCAATGGAATACGACCAAAAGGGGTGAAATGTTATTTATTTAACCTGTAATCCTTAATCGACGTTTCGCTTTTTTGGTCAAAGGTTTATCAAGGTTATAAATATATAAACAAGATGTTTATCTAATTATTATGATCATAGTACTTTGGTTTTAATAAATAATAAACAGATTCTTGGGTGATCAGATTTATTACCTACCAATTGACTAATAAGGAAAAGAAAAATAGACTGAAATAAGGCGTGAATAAAACTGAACGGTTGCATCGATCGCGGTCGGTAGAAAAGTGTCGATTCCAGGTAAAGTAAGGATGGTTATTTTATCGAAAAATGTGCGTGGGTAGTCGAACAGGTAGCGAGATAAGATAGCGGTAGTTTGCAAGGGATCGTCCGGCAACGGTACTTTTTTATGATTCTATTGCAAACGATTGGAAGTGAAAACGGATGGAATTTTGATCTGAAAATTATAGCTGTAGAAAAAGAAAGCTATTTTCGAAAGTTAAAAAATGAAAGACAGCAGTAATAAGTTAATAGAAAAGGCATGCTCAAGGATGTTAGTTTCACACAAAATATATACACAGTTGGCACTGAAATAACAGAAAATTTAAAATACACATATATACAAACAATGAAAGACAAAAATTATTACTTGACTATTTACACATATCTACATCGGTTCCCACAATACCCCCTTGCTAGTGGTTTTGTTACGCAAAACCCACTTGTAACCTGTCGGGAAAGTGAACTTTCGGTCATGACCTTGTTTTAACGCCACACGTTTCGTTTGGTCCACGGAAAACTCGCGTCCGTTAATTGTCAGTGTGAACGTTTTTTTCGACTTGCCCACTACACTATAAAGTCTGTCGTAGATCTATTTTTATTAGAATTTCTCTGGGGTTGTCGTGGCGAACGAAAACATGATCTGTTATAGTCAACTCCTTAAAGATGAAAATTTTCTCTTGGCCATGACGGTGGCTCTGTGTTGGTGCTAATCTTCATTGGTGGTATCGAAGTTCCTGCACACATTCCGGAGGGCTTTTGCTGTGGGTGTCTCTGGTAGGATCAAGGAATTCTCCTGGAAGGAGAAGCGGTTGACCATACAACATCTCCGCGATTGTGACTCGAAAATAATTTCTCCAGGGGGAACGAATTCCTAAGAGGACTGTTGGAAGCACTTCGGTTCAACGGTTGGGTTGATGGCATATGATTACAGCCTTCAGTTATCGATGGAATCTTACCACTATACCACTTCAAGGAGGGTGGTACGCTGTTGTCGTACATTTTCCATCAGACAATTCATTGGGACACCAGTTTGACAGTGGCGTTGGAATCAGGACGAGCAAGATTATGGACTACGTCAAACACTCTTTTAACGAAAGTCCTTGGTAAGAAATGGACGAACCTTCGTAGTAGACAGGTTTGCTAAACCTTTTAAGTGGTGCTTTAATTAGATCCGCGACGACGTTGTCTTCGCCAGAGATAGTATGTCGGATGTCCGTTGTAAATTGGCTAATGAAGTCCAAGTGACGGAACTGACGTAATGAGCACTGCAAGTTTTTCTTCAGAAAAGCATACGTTATAAGTTTGTGGTCTACAAAGATCGTAAATCGATTGATAAACAAGGAGCAATTCCCGGTCGTACGCTCCCCACTTGGCTTCTGTTCGATTTAACTTCTTGAAAAAGACGTCCAAGGGTTGCTAGTGGTTTATTTGCTGTTTAAAGATTGTTCCAATGGCAAAGTCGAAAGCATCCGTGAATACGGAGAGAGGTGCATCCGATTGGGGGTGGGTAAGCAGGGTCGCTTGGGCTAGGCTTTCTTTGCTTGATTCGAAAGTTTGGATAGTCTCCGCAGTCCAATTAATGGGCGATTTCTCCTTAACATTTCCCTGAAGAAAGTTATTCAGGGGGATTTCTGCAGCATTGGGAAGGAACCTTCTAAAGGAATTCAGCATTCCTAAGATGTGGATAGGGTCGGATGACCTCTACCTTTTCGTAAAGCGGTCGAGTAACAAAACCAGATACTAGATATCCCAGAAATTTCACTTCGTTTTGACCTAGAACACACTTTAGAGCGTTTATGACGACGCCGTACTTGAAAAACGATCTCGGGGTAGTGAACATGTTCTTCTGGTGACGCTGACGCTATTAGGATATCGTCAATGTAGACGTGGCAGATGTCAAGACCTTGAAATACTTCACCCATAAACCTCTGGAATGTTCGGGCTGCGTTTCGTAGGCCAAAGGTCAGGTACGGGAATTCAAAGAAGCCAAACAGTGTTTGTAATAGTTGTCTTTGGAATATTCTCTTCTGCTACGCAGATTTGACTAATTGTACAAAAAAGATTCTCTATGTCTCCTTCAAACGTAATACAATAACTTAGTTATCTAACAAGGACTATGATCCTAATAATTAGATAGAAACTAACATCTTGTTCATAAAAAATTTATAGCCGTAGTAAACCGTTCGACACAAAGGCGAAACATCGGTTGGGATTACAGATTAAATAAATAACATTTCACCCTTTTTGGTCGCTTTTCATTGAAATGGTTTCTTCTTTGATCCTTTTTTTAGTTCCATTTAGGACTAAACATAAACCACGAGACATGACATGTTAAAATTAGGAAGTCCTTAAAGTTTTAAAAGTATAACGCCATATTATGATGCATAACTAATTGTAATTAACGTAAACATTAAACAGTGATGTAAATTCTTTGTATATCTAATGAAATTGTCTATTAATAATATCGATTTAAAGCCTCCACGTGGAATAACGATTCAAATATCGTGAAGAAGGCTTTAAAAGATGAGCTAAATGACGGTTGATTGAAAATAAACTGAATCAAGCTCTAAATAAATCATTTTACTGATAAGAATCAGGGAGAAATAAGTAAATTAACTATTTTACTACATACAAAAACTATTTTGAGTTGATACTTGATTAAAAGTGCAAAGATTCGCTAATTAAAACATTTAAATAAACAAATCGACGACCTTAGATCGACGAATTAGAAAATTTAATTATAAAATCTATTCTGGTAACTAAAAATTCATCATGTACTAATTACCTAAAATGTAAGCAATAATGATTTCAGGTTTCACCATGTACACCACATGTGTAATATGGTTGGCATTTGTACCGCTTTACTTTGGCACCGTCAACCACGTTGCCTTGAGGATAACGAGCATGTCAGTGACGATTAGTCTTTCCGCTAGTGTCACAGTTGTCTGCCTCTTCTCTCCAAAGGTACCACCATTGTTATATATTTCCAGAAATGTTGAGACATTTTTATAAAACAGAGTAAACAGGTTAATTTGGAGACGCTGTGTCAACACATCACAAAGCCCTGCGGAACTTAATTGGATAGACTGAGCTACAGATTACCTTAGATGTCCAGAAGTCAGTCATAGAAAATAATTTTAAATTATACAGCTCATAGAAGAACTTTCCTTTTCTTATTAAGAAATGAGAAAGGATGGGTTTATAGTGATGGATATGAATGTACACTATATGTCAACAATTTCTTACTGACAATGAATACGTGTAAACAGAATCACCTGTATGCAGGGTGATTGATCTAAAAGTAATGAGCAAAGCAAGAAAAAAACTATCCCACTCTTAGTATTGGTCTTGGTTATTGGGTCTATATCAATGGTCTTGGTCTTACGTATTTAGTCTTGGTCTTGCTCATTTAATCTGATACTTACGTTTTTTTAAAAATTCTTCTGAGCACAACTTTTTCTATTTAACGACACGAAATTGACATAAATTATGAAATTTTTGGTCATACATGCGAACTTGTCATGACTTGAAGAAAATAGTGTCGAGAGTTATGAAAACTAAAAAACGTACCCTTCGTCAAATGCATAAATTGACGCTTCCTTCAACGCATGAATTGACTTTTTAGCGAATACAATAGTACAAGGAGATCAAAAATATCAAAGAAGAAAAATTAATTTTTCAATATCAACCATGCATTATTCAAATATAGGAACAAAGAACATTTACTCCGAGGATATTCTTGTACCATATACCCCTTCCGTCAAACAGTGATAAAGTTTCTTTTTTTATCCTTTGTTTTTTTTTATATTTAGTGTTTAATTCTAGTAAAGTAATCTGAAAATTTCAGGTACTAAAAATGTCTTGTTCCAAGAAAAGAATATATTAAAGTTCCTTCAAATGCGCGTTGAAAATTCTCACAATGTGTAAGTGAGCAAAACACGTGTCCGCGTTGTGTTTAAACTGTTGTGGTTAGTAGGGATAAGACCTTTCTTTTTGTTTGTCAATATGTCACAGTCTCCTTTATATTTATTTCTTTTTGTTTGCTTCAAATAGTTTAGCACACAATCCAGTAATAATTTTTCGTTTAGTCTTGTGTATTTCGAATTTGTCTTATTGGTATACTTCATCATGATTTTAGTCTTGGCCTTGTTCGTTTTGTCTTGACGTTGGTTTTGCTACTATAAAACCGGCCTTGATCTTGGTCTCGCATTTACGTTCATCATTTATCCAAATCAATCATTACAATTTTAAAGGTAATTAATAGTCGTTTTAATCTGAAACTTGGTATTCTTTGAATAGTCAAAGGGAAGGACTTATTTTATAAAAACGTTTTCCTAATTCTGGCATTTCACAAACATAACAAAAATAAAAAATTAAACTTTTTCTGAATGCGAGCATAAACCTTACAATTCCGTCTGCTACAAAACTTTTTCTAAATTTTGAAATTTTTAATTTACATGGTTCATTTCATAAGAATATTAAAATCATTCCTCTAAGTAGGGCATATCTATTTTACTAGGTCAATGGAAAGGTTGGAGATTATGATTCTTTTATAAATTGATACATATCTTAAAAAGAGATGAGGTTTTGGAACATTTGTATTTTTATTTTATTTAGGTACGCGAGTCACTAGAAGAAATGGCTTCTGAAAAATAACGGCTGCTGAGATAGGCATTTTATATATTTAATATGGTATTAAAAAAAAAATAAAACAATGGGTCATTTCATTTGAGATAACGAAGTAAGACCACTTCAGGTAGGATCACAATTTCGAAAATGCTTTATTGAAGGCAGTTTTTTAGCGCAAGTTGGGACAGCGTTAAACTATGTTTTTATTTCTCTATACTTACTGCTTACAGAGAGATTCATTCTTCTTCATTCTTACGTCACCACACGACTTTCTTTTTTTTTTAATTGTTGCATTTTCATTCCCTACAGACTTCCTATCAGCACTTTAGATCAATCACACTGTATGTCACGAAGGTGTTTATAACAACTAATATGAGAACCTACATCAACAAAATATAGATATGTAGCAAAATATCATAAGATCAGATAAGGAATATTTTCAATTTTGGAATACGATTTTATGAGAGTTGCATTTCATAAAATGTTCACATTAAGCACGTAAAATGTATCTGTCACATTCTGAAACAAAGAGGGTAATAAAAAGCACCTGCGAGTTGACATTTGTACGTTCTGTTTTAACTGTAGTATTCGAAGAATTGTTCTAAATTGTCTTACCTTTAAAAACAGAGTTTACAGCAACAATTGCTTGTCCCTTTCTCTCCAAAAAGTTTCCAGCTACTAGATTTATGGAGGTCAGTAGTTTTAGTAACTTACTCTATATAATGAGAAAGAAGATAAATAATTTTAATTTAGAAAATAGTTAGTTATTCACACAGAATTGAAAAGCTAAGAAAACAGCATTTTCTTATCTATACTGAAACATTTTTAACCCAACTCCACTAAAATCCTTATTTATGAAAAAATCAATTTCGAAGCATATTTGATTTAAATTTCTATTATCTGGAACCAATGTTAAATAAATCAAAACGAGTAGCAAACAATACCTGATTGTATGTCTGAAAAGTAAATTAGGAGATATGCACCTATACGTAAGTCTACAGAAACATTGAATTTTGTCTCCGTATAATATTACTAATGACAAAATTTTATTTGTTTATTTAAATTACAGCTCTATATAATTCTTATACGGCCAGAACGAAACATTCGGCAAAGTATGATGCCGATGAGATTCACTAATTTTAACAAGAATTCTGGATCAAGTAGCATTATGGCTCCCATACTCGTTACAGCTGCAACGTGTGATTCAAAACAGCAGATTCGCCGACATATACCTCCGCCATCTATTTCTGATAAAGAAGGTAAGTAAAATACAAAATCCTGGATTAGCTCTTTAATTTTAAAGAATACTTCTTTCTATAAATAGGCAGTTAATAAATCAATGACGTGCCTTTAATCATAAATAACTCAATTAGTAGTTCACTGGTTTTGATCCTATCTTGTTAAAATATCAATCACAAATTAAAAAACAGCACTATTTTCATTTGAATTAAAACAATCGAAAGCTTGAAATTGAACCAGCACCTGCCGACTGCTTCCGAAGCTGGGTTAAAGTGAAATGTTGATACTTGCGACAATAAAGAATAGTGATATTGTAATATTGTTACACAGGATCCATTAATTCTTATTTAGTATATCTAAATCGTTTACTTAAAACTGCGCTAACGCCTACTTACCTATTGGGTTAGTAAAACGGTGTTGAATAGCGGAATAAATAATAATCAAAAAAGTGTCGAATCCAAGATCACAAAGAATCAAACAATGCAGGGTGGTGAGTCGGCTTGTCGTCCTCACTCACCCTGTGATGGTTCCCTGTCATTTTCTACGTTCCTCAATGTTCCTATTTTATTATGTAAATATCCTTCCAAATGTATCTTCCTAAAAACCTTTTGTATCTGTATCTTTTTATTATTCTCTCTACAAATTACTTTATTATTTGTACTTTCCACTCATCTTTTAACATTTCAATTTCGCTTACTAACAGCATGAAGTGTATAATTCTTGTTGCTTCCTAATTACATTTTTATATTGGGTTTCTAGGTACATTCGGGCAAAATATGTTTCTTAGTATTTAATCTAGTCACTTTTTACAAGTTTCATTCTCTTTTGATTCCATCTCTACTTTAGTTAAAATACATCTAGCTCCACCCTTTTAATCTTCGTTAAAAAACACTTCCGATCTATTATTCAACTGTTCCATTCCTTCCTTTAGCGATTGTTAATTAAATTTGTTAAGTTTTCATTGTGTTTCATTTGGTAATTTTAATTTTGTAAAGTGTTTTGAATCACCACCAAACCTAAACCAATTATATAGTAAGGTAGGCTAGTATTATATTATTAAATTATTTATTAAAACAAACTAAACAATCCAAGAAAGATGCTCCACCGTGAAGATGTCCAACTAACCAAACCCACCGACTTAAAATGTTAGGTTAAAAGGCCTTTAAAACGAATATCAATTATCGTATCCATGATATACTGGACCAAAAGTTCAGAAGGAAGTTATTGATTGTGTACAAAAAATATATAAGACGGCTGCCGATAATCTTATATAAAATATTCAATAATTAAGAATTGAAGTATTTCATCACACAGATAGAACCTAATTGAACATGAATAATTTCAAAAGTAGTTAAATAAAGATTTCAATACGTTAGCAGAGATCTCAGAAATCCAAAACTTGAACCCTTTGGAAGGCTGGAGAACTTTCCCAAGAGTTTATTGTATAGACAGGCGTATCTTATAATGGTATAAAACTTTCAATTTGTTGATGTGAGCCCCAAAATAAGCTAATTGAAAATGTCTTGAAGAAGCTTTTGGTCAGAAATGTCCACCGTCTGTACAAGTGGTGGGTTTGTATTCCATTAATATTCTAAGCCATCATGTGCTTTCAAGAAGATCAAGTGGAGTATTAACAGGAATTTCAGCGTATTCGTAACAAAAAATTGATGCTGAACAGTTACGATGAAGCGATAGACCTTACTGTTGATGTGACAGGTTTGAGAAGAGCTATACATAACACATGGAACGAAATGTATTAAAAATTCATCATGCATCAAAATTAACTTTTGAAGAAATAAAATTTACTTTAAAATGCCAAATGAAATATAAAAACGTGGCAATAAAAATACAAAGACAAAGTATATAGACAATATCGCAAGAACTTTCAGACAGATTCACCTATACGACTAAGTCAATAAAAGTTAAACTTCAAACATGTAGAACTATAGTGGATGTTCGCCGACTACTCTCCAAAGGACCAAGAACATCGACGAACTTCACTAATCAGCAAACAGTAGTAACGATACTTTCAAAAAATTTGTAAGGCAAACAAATTATGAGAATGGATTCAACAAATCGTGTGCCCTTCCGTAAATGGAAAAGTTAAATTCCTACAATGACATGCTAACAATGATTTGATTTGAACAGAACAAATCAACTTTGCGAACTATACTTGGAAAAACTGGAACAGAATACACAGTTTGCGAGCAGGGTTGTTTGCAGTTAAAAAGCTATATTTAAGTTAAATGGCATATAATTAATAGACATTATTACGATGCGGTGTTTTCTTCCGGGCTTTTTGGCCGTGGTCTGTAAAATTTTATTTTTCCAAACGTTTAGCCGTTCTTTGCTGGAGTCGTTACGGTGAGTGGTTTTATGATTCACTGCGTGATTGCATGATTGTTTTTATGTTGATTCGGTCCTCTTCGGTTGGTAGCACATTGTTTATTTTTCAGTGTCGGATTCCAAGCTTTGCTGATATGTAAGTCATCATCTCTGTTTATGTTATTAGAATGTTGTTCAATTTCTAGAGCCTCCCTTCTAGTCAGATTGTGGAATCCCGACGTTCTAACCAGGAGAGTTGTATCTTTGAACTGCACACCATACAGTTCAAAGATACAAATCTCCTGGTTAGAACGTCGGGAATCCACAATGTAGTCTTTACCACATTCACATGGTATACGGTAAACTTCTGGTGTTAGTAGTGAATCTAGAGGGTCTTTTGCTGATTGTAGTTCATTTCGAATCTTGCAGGTGGGTAGAAATGTTGTTTTTATTCCCTTTTTTCCAAGAATCTTAGCTATTCTGTCCGTGATATTCTGAATATATATATATTACTTTCTTTTCACTGTAGCTGTAACCGTTTGCTTGTAAATATTTCTGTAAGTCGTCTAATTACGGCTTAGATGTTCCTTGTCTGCGATGAGTTTAGCCCTGTTAACCAGTGTTTTGATGACTGTCCTTTTTTGGGCTGGATGGTGGTTGGAAGCAGCGTTCAGGTATCTATCTGTATGCGTGGCATTCCTGTGGTCACCGTGAGCAAGTTGGCCTGTAGTAGTTCTTTTCACAATGACGTCTAGGAACGCAATCCTTCCATCTCTCTCCTGGTGATCTAAAAATTTGTTCAGCTTATCCTCTCCATGTGGCCAGACGACTAAAGTATCATCCATATATCGATACCAATGAGTCGTTTTATATTTGGATGTCTCTAAGGCAGTCGTCTCAAAGAAGTCCATGCAGAAATTTGCCATTAGTAAACTAAATGGGCTATCAATTGCTACCCCGTCGATTTGTTTGTAGAAATTTTGGTTCAATAGGAAGTAGCTGGATGTCAAGCAGTGTATGGATAGTGCCACTTCTTCATCCGGAAAACGCGTCAGTAGTAGTTCCACTGCATCCTTTAGTGGTACCTTCGTGAATAAAAACTCTACTAGAATGTCAGAGTCTTTCAATCTGATGTTGTTCAGTTTCTCGATGAAATGTTTTGAATTTCAAATATGATGTTCGAAAATTGAGTAACAGTAATTACATTATGCAAGACACAATGTAAATTTGCTAGGACTTTCAGGGTGGTGTGGTATTTGAAGCAAATGATTTTTTGGACTATTCCTTTTTAACAGAACAGTGTCTGGTGCTAATTACTGTAAGGATCTACTTTACCATACACTCGGAAAGACTTTAGTGAAAATTACAAATTTTATTTCTAAAAGGACGGAGCACCCTAACACTATCCTCGCATGTAAGTACATGCCTTATGAGAAGCTTCCAAATCAGTGCCCTCGGAGTAGAGGCCCGCCCTATCCATTCTCGAGACCTGACTCCATTTCACCTTTTTTTGCTGAGATAGCTTAAAATTATCAACATTAGAAAACCGATGACACTGGAATTAAAAACAGCACTTGGACAAATAGGTATGCGCTTCAATATCAAATAAAAAATTTGCTGAAGTTTATAAACCAGTAGCGCAGCCTTATCAGCAGTGGATTGATCAAAACAGTAAAAAATGTGGTAGGAAAAAAGGATGTATATTGTATGAGTAGGTTCTCTTTCAACTTCAACATTAATTGTATATGAATATTGAATGACGAATTTTTAAAACTATGAATACATATTTTGGAACAATCGTGGAACGATCAGATACCGCAATATTAGTTATTCAAAGTGGATATTATATAGGGGCATGCCTAGTCAAAGTACGTACCATTATTTAGACTGTTAAGGTATTTTAAGATTAAACAGGAAGAAAAAATTAATCACCCCTGATCTCATTAGTTTGGTGTTTACAAACTCACGTCGAATCTTGATGAAGTTAATTTTTCAGGTTTAATGAAAATGAAAGAGGGTTTAAAGAAGATAAATTTCCCTAACAGATCTTACGAAAATATTCGCAGATTATTGTTGGATACTAAGCATAAGTAATTGCTCCTTTAATATAAGCAAAATAGGGAAAAGGAGAATTGTTGTCAAATTATTTTTAAAATAGTACACAAAGTGAATATGGTAAAACAAATAACAAGGTAATACTATACTTTAGCCGTATAAGTCAAATTAAATAAAGTGAGCTGATTATTGACACCAAATATAGACAGATAAATGGTTGGGTGGATTACTATGTTTAAATTTGCATTTAACCATTTTTCTAAATGTTTATTTGTTAAAATAAAAAGTGAGCAGTCCGCCCGGGTGATGACACAGCGAATGTCCTATTGTTGTCCGTGAAAATATTTTACCTCAAATAGTGACATTACCAAATAATATAAAAGGTGGAGTTCCAACGTATTTGTTCCAAAACATTTGCAAATTGATTTTGAACTATCCACAATTTTGGCCTGCAGAGAAGTATTGCCTCATACATTTTCAAAAGGTCTAACTTTAATTTCAAGCAGTGCTTATGATGAAAAATCCAAGAATTGGGATTATCATCTACATACCGGACAGGCTAAGAAGTAAGAAATCATGTAGAAATGACTGTAGCATTAACACGTTTACCAATGCCGTTCTTAGAAGAAGGATGACTTTACATCGTGGAACAATCTCCAAATACATCGGCTATATGCAGTTGCACTGACTATTTTATTGATCAATGGATGTAAAATGATCTAATTGGAGATATACGGAATTGTTACCGAGAGCGGCATCGCACCACAAATATTGTGAATCGTTGCACAGTCGACTTAACAGAAGTATTGTTGCGGCTTCAATTAATATTTGTACATATATATTCAATTTTGTTAGTGTTTATAATTTTTGTAAATATTCAATTTTGTTCGTATTTTTAGTTAGTCAACACTTTGTATTTTATTCTAGTTGTAGTCAATTTTAATGTATTTATTTCTGTAGGTATAGATAAATATTAGTTTCTTAGAATAGGTAATGCAGCAATTTTAACGAAGAGATCGGTCCAGGTAGGTCTCACAAAACCATTCATTAATGGAAAACCCAAGTCCGTCGCTACGTCATCACTTCGGAATGTGCAGATAATACCTTAGGGGTACGTAGCGACGGCGAAGGGGTAATGTGCACGATAGGCGTTGCCTATTTTGTGCCAACGTTATTTAAACAACGCGAAATCAAATTTTTAGTATTCGAAAACCAACATTCAAGCTTTAACATCAAATCAATTCACATTCAACAACAATTCAATTATCAACCAATATTCAATATACAATAAAATAGTAAGTGTACATAGTGTATCATATTGTACAAAATAAACCAAACCAACCAAAAAAGTGATTTATTCATCAACAAAATCCGAAAGAATATATGGGGCAGTGAGCGAATACTGCAACCACCGAACAAGTATGTATTGGAAAAACGCATCCAAACATCATGGAGCTTCTAAAACTTTTAAAAGATGATTCTACGTATTACGATATCCTTCATGCTAGGACAAAGCTAAATATGTCTTCGAAAAGAAGAGCAACAAAAAATGTACTAGTGGACAAGAGAATAAAAAGGACCATTGACGAAATAAAACACACTGGTGACACATGTAACGGTTAAAAAAATGTGCTATTTAATAGATATTTAAATTGTGCTATTAGCTAGGCTATATATATATATTATTACCTACAAAAAATAAGTTTTTAATTTTTTAGGGCGGATATACTTTATCTAACGAGAATCTGGCTCAAAGTTTGAAACATTTTGCTAAATCAAATGTTCAAGATCATCTCCTGAATACGGATGCGGGCAGCAATGCTACTGTACAATCTCTTTTTTAAGGCAGCAATGCGATTTTTTCGAGGCGCGATTAGTAATGAGACCAAGTCATAACACATTGCCCCCTCTTAGGGGCGTTAGACGTCATTCGTTCTAAGCTGGAGTGTATTTAATTTTTACCCTTTAGCACTCTGAAGGAAAATTAGTCAAAATAGTAAAAATAAAATTTAGAAAATGAGCAGAGGAAACTGATTGCGATAAAATTATCTACAAAAACATCTGTTAAATGACCAAGTTTTGCACTAACACTGCCTCCCCCTACACATCAAAAAAATAAAATCTTGTCCTGTCCAAAATGCAAATTTCTCAAAAATTTTAACGACATTTATTGTTACTGGGTCATCGATAGGGATATTTACCCTATTACTGTTTAATTAATGTTAGCAATTTTCTCATATCTGATTTTTGTTACAGATACAGATTTTAGTAGCAAAACGAAACTCGAGACCAGCGATTGCAGTACTCAAACAGAGGCCTTGAATATGGAAGATAATACTACCCATAACATCACTCAAGACTGTTCGCCAAAAATTAACAATAACTGCAATTTTGATCGCGGTCGAATTGAAATAGTTTCAGTAGATAAAAATTGCCATTCGTAATAAAATACATTGAATCAACTTTAACGACCAATATTGATATTACTACATGGATTATTAAAAACTACAAAACAGATATATACTTGACAAAAATAGAGAAACGTACAGTGTTTTGCTTACAGCTTTTATAGATTACATTAATTTTACTTGACACATAAAGAAGGACATTCGCAATAAATTATGTAATTAGAACGTACTATTTGAAATTCCACAAATTGATCAATCGCAAAGTTAATAAACTTAGACCATTTGCCCTAGCACATTACTGTACGTTTCACATATTGAACATTAGGTGCATAGATTATGTGGTTTACAGGGTACGCAATAGTATTTAAGGTCCATATTATTCAATTGTCAAATGTGTCAAAATAAGCTCCATCATCTGCTACGACTATTATGCTGGTTTTTCGGTAGCTTTTAAACATAAAGAAACAGTCCAATGAATTCATTTATCAATCTCATTGCAAGCAAACGACGCAAAACTAATCGATCCTATAGGTACAGACAAAAAAAAAACGTTGAAGTGGCCAGAATGAAGTTCCCACAGTTGTGAAATTTTAATTAAAAGCAAACTTATAATGACTGTTTATTAGGATATTCCAATTTATGTTTCCTTTTAGCTTTGAAAAATTGGTTATCTCCGTTATTGCCACAGGGTATTTGGTTACGTTAGAGTTAATTATTCAGGCAATTGTTTAACTTTTTAAATTACAATTTTCTTGTCTAATTTTTTCTGAAAGTATAATCCAAAGCTTTATAATAAATTGCAAAAGCGGAGATAATTCTCTTTTAAAACTAAGATATAAAAATATTGTAATGCTTTTAATTACACTTATGTCATTTAAGATTAAGTACTTTTTTCATCTTTTTAAATCAATGTAGGTACATAGCGCTAAAACATTATGAAATAAAATATGTTAAGATCGACAGTAAATGTAAATTATTTAATGAGCAGAGATTTGAAGATATTTTCAATATTGACATCAAAAAAACAATTTTTAAATGTTCTTCCAGAAAAATTCAACCTAAGCTTTGTTTTCTAATTTGGAGAAGCAATATCATACTATATTGTACAAAAATTAGAAAAAATTCGCTTTCTTTGAACGGAACAAAATCAAAGTCTAGGGATGCAATTTTTCAACTATTTTTCGCCTGAAGAATGAATGCTATCTTCTATATCATTAATGAATTATAACTTTGAAAACACACATTACTATTTTTATATATGAATATCTATTCGTTGTTTATTAGTTGTCTGTCATACCGAGGATACTGATATCTCTGTTTCGCATTAATTGAAATAGATATATTTTGATGAAGAGGTTCCTGTGAAGAACTTATTATTATTTATGTTGTATTATTTTGTTTTGTTTATAAGAAAGTATATTTTATGTTTTTACTAAGATCGTAATTTAGCTTTCATCATTCGGTTACGTTAGCTTAAATCTGATACTGACAGACAGAAATAATAGTAGTAAGTACCTATGTTCCAAACTTCTTCGATTGCTTTAGTTATTCAGAAATGTGATTCTTATTAATATTAAATAAAAGTAAATAAACGGATATATTTATCGTGTATATAACGTTTTACCGTCAAAGTTGTGATATAAGCAGAAAAACGTAGTCTACGTAATAAGTGTAAGTTAACCTGCAGAGGTATATATTTAATTGATACAGAAGTAGAATTTAGCAATTAGGTGTAAATACAACTATGAAATATTCCTATTTCGAACATGTTGATTTAAAACCAAATCATTTAACAAAAATGGAAAAACCGTTGCTAACTTAATTTTCAACAAATAATTTTTGAAAATAATTGCGATCTCGCAAATACATACACCACTTGACAACAAAACTTGGAATACCAAATAAGTCGAAGATATCCTAACATAACCATAATATTAATTTATCTAATACAGAAATTGAATAATTATTATGAGTAAATTATGAAAATTTTATACTACTGGTGATTAGGCTAACTCAATACTAATAATTGAATTATATTTAAGTAAATATTGGAAATTTGTTTCTTTAATGAAAGAAATAGAAAATAGAGAAACCTCATCTGTCGCTGCTCTTTTCCTTTGAGAACCATTATTAAATAAAGATAGAAATGGACAGAGTGTCCTGTTATTTTACATCTCATGTGGCTTACAGCAACATACAGGGAAGAATGCGAGTTGCCTACTCTAACTATAGATATTAACCCTATGGTTGCAATACAATAATGCTAAATTATCTAATATATTTGCAATTAATTCTTATATCGGCTGTGAATATTTATCGGTATAGTATTGCCATCATATATTTCATGTAGATAATTTTTTAAATCTGACGTAGGACGATTGTTAACAGTTAGCTCTAAAATACTCAGCAATTCGATATTCTTCTTTTCAAATTTCATAATATGATGTACATTACAAATAAGTTTACTTTTAGATAAACTCCTTTTCGAGGGTTTGTGTCGATCCAATGAGATATTGTGTTAATATCAATTATTTCATATCGTTTTAAAAATTCATAATTCCACGGTATGGTAATGAGGAAAAATTTTAAAAGTCACAATTTAAAATAAAATATGAGATTTAAGAAATGTTCATTATCGATGCCATGTTGTTTTGGTTCCTCCAATTTAACAAATCTTAATATAACTCAAAAATTTGATTTAAATATTGTGAGCAAACCAACTCGGGCTTCCTTGACAGAATCAGCGCAACAATATGAGAATTTACGAATACCATAAAAAATATTAATTACTTTTGCAGTATTGCTTTTGTTACCGACAGATACTTTTTCAAAATACGACCAAACGCAAATTAATTCTATATTCAAAATAGATATATGTATGTGTTTTAAAGACATAAGTAAAACCCAAGAAGTACATTTTGAAAACTACTACTATTTACTGAACACTTTAGCGGCAGAACTGTTGAATTTTTAATATTCGGCAGTTGTAGGTCTGACATTGACCAATAATCAGAAAAAATTCTTAGACGGAGTGGTAAACAAACGCACCCGAATCTAACAAAGACGAAATCTGTCTCAATGATGGCGAACACACAGATGACAAATCTTTTTAATCAGTATTGATGTAGAAATATTTCTCGCTGATTAAAAATACAAATAAAATAGTATTTCTTATATCCTACTCTTTATAGAATAAAGGACTCAAAGATGACTCCAAAATTAAACAACTGTATAGTACACCTAATTCTTCCTCTATGAAATAGTAGCAAACCGATTAAGAAAGATGATTTGGTATTAAATCAAATAGTAAGTGAATTTATTGTATTTACATATGTATTTATTGTACAAGTTTAGCAACTAAAGGCAAGAAATTCTTCAGCAGCAACTGAGCCCTTTGTTGTTGAAAAATTGAAGAACCTTTGTGATACATATTTTTGTTAAACGTCTTATTAATGTATTCTCAAGACATACGTTTTATCAATGTAAGATCGTTTATGGTGATCAAAAACCCAATGTTATCGAAACAAACGATAACGTTCTGTAATAAAAAATTGTTGTTGTTTACTGAGCTATCTTCCAATAATAAAGTGCATAATTTCACTAAATGCCTTTTGCTGGTTCCACGTCACATCATTTCATTTTAGGATGAAATTTTTGATGAAGAAAATAAAAGCTCTTATGTAAAACAATATTTTTTCTTGATCAATAACCTACTGAGAGGATGTTTCCTTTAGAAATTCGTTAAAGGAGAACAAAGATTTTGATGTGTGAATACACCAGGCAAGTTTTGATGTTTTAGATGTACATTCCCTTTTTTCAACTTCGAAATATTTCTGAGAATGAAGTTAAGGTGTAGTGACAGTAATAGACAGACAAATAATACATCAGTAGCAGCATCTAAACAATAAAACCTTAATGCCTCTGGCTTTGAAAATTATTCTCAGTTCTCCATTCTCCAATACACAGAAAGTATTTTCATTGTAACTTCCGAGTACTGATCTTTAAATATTTTATTATATTTGCTTAGCTTTATAGCCGAAAAACAAGATTTAACGACTTTAGCTCTGGGGTGATGAATATGTATTCAATATTTAATTTTGGAACGACTTTAAAGAAATACCTAATTAGAGCAGTCCGGAAACTTTAAATTGAATAATTGAGGGAATGAATGTCTTCACCGAAAACAATCACAATGATCAATAAGAGTTAATGTTTCAAACAATTAAAATATTAATTGGCTTTCACGAATAATGGTATAGGAAAGTAATTCATTTACGCCTTTGTATTCATTCGTATATAACTCTCCAAGGGAATATTGTAACAAAGTTGGTTATATAGTAAAAGGTACTGCGGCACTTCCTGTTCTACCGAAGTAGATGGCTATAGAGATACTGTGACACCTCGATGGCCTGTCTATCCTGCTCCTATTCATGTTCTCGAATGTCTTCTTAGAAGTTATTCTGCATTAGAAAAGAAAAATGTCTTTTACGTGACCTCTAATACTTCATTCTTTTAAGGTCATTCTTCAGCTGGAGAGGTTCTTAAGGTACTTTGAAACTGTCTTTAGAAACGGATATCTTTAGCCACAATCCGATTATTATTCGTTTTAGAATATTGTAAATCTGCAAGTTTTTTCCGTTTCACACACACAAATGTTCTGCTTCTTCTACTGACTGACTGGACGTCCGGTATTTATACTAAGACAAATATAAGGTATATGGGTCATCACCTGATACTTAAATGATTTGCTTATAATGCTTGATTTGAACTTGAAATGAAATTTTAAACATTTACAAACTTCAATACATATAAGAATGAAATTTTCAAAAAGTGATTACATTCTCTAGTACTTTTTGTGGGTATAAGACCGAAAGGAACGTACAAATGAAATTTGTTAACAAAGTAAATATTTCTGGTGATGTAGATGTAGGTGCCTTATTTACTGTGCGTAGAAGAAGTTGTGGACATCACTCCCCTGGCTTTAGGTTGAGCCATCCCTCCCAAATTATTCCAATATTTATCAAATCCGGATTTAAGGAACCTTCTTTAATCTCCAATAATTAAATTTTGGATTTTAGTTTGTTTTTATTTTTTCTATAAGAAAGGCGTAGTAACACAGCTAAATCAGATATAATAATTATTGCAATTCAGTCGCGTATTTTAATACACCTGACTTAATTTCTTGTAGATATAAGACTTTTAGCAATTAAATAGATATTATCATGAAGTTGATTTCCTTTATGGGTGTAGGGATTTGATGGTCTATGTGAATCTTTTATTCTTGTATTTTCATTGGCAAAACTATTTTTGAACCGACCGACATTTTGATTGGATGTCCGTGCAGTTCCTTGTCTTATATTTTGGGATTTCCACATTGTTCCAAAACTATTGTTGGTTTTCCAGTACGTAGAATTATTCCTCCATTTCCCATTTCTTTACCAAAGTCGTTCCTCTGACATTTAACATTGGATCAATTTCTTTGAAAAGTGGTATAAAATTGTGTTTTTGCGTTAGATGGTATTTCTTTACATTTATTAAAACAATTAATAAAATATTTGTTATCTATAATTGATCTTTTTCTTACTCTCTTATTTAATGAGACTGTTAATTTTGCAATATCTCGTATGAATATTAAAGGTGTATATTTGGAGCGCGGCGCTATACATGTGCGAAGCATGGACGGTGGGCGCAATGGAAAAGAGAAAGT